AGGGCGTGATATGCCGCAGTCAGATATTCTCGTTTGTAGCCTGTTCCTTTGCACTTAGAGCTGCCACCATTGCAGTTTCTACCCACAGCCTTTCAGTTTGCTGTCTGAAGTCTGTTGTATTGTTCTGTTATTTCATCTATAATCATAAGTATTTTTCTTATCAGTTAGCCTATAGTAAGCTCTTCTGGGGGTTAAGTTCTGCGGACCCCATATAGGCATACGTGTACTTAGATAAGGTAATTTATAAATTACTCACAGTAAGACATTATTAACATTAAAAACGGTAATAATAAAATACACTGTACATTATTATACAGTACTGTACAACTGTGCTCTCTGGAATGATCCAGAGAGATTCTGAGATGTTAGCCAAATCCTCAAGAGAAATTAAAAATATCATGTATTAAGGAATGACGGAGCAATTAAAACCATGCTTTGCATACGTCTCAAAGGACGGACGAACAATGAAAGCAGTTTCAATTTTACCATTTTTAGTTCGTACCGCGGTGCACCGCGAAATGAAATCACGGATGCAGGTTTATACTGTAAAACCAGTGTGCTATGCTGCATTAGACTGTCTAGTGAATGATCCACCAATCAAAAACCAGTATTCACTAGAGCCCTCCCTCAAAACTTTCATGGGTGAAAGTGACAGTCTACATTTCAAGGTTTATTATAGGCCTATGTCATGTGCGGCATCGTCGAAATAAACAAACAAATAAATAAATAAATAAATAAAGCCTGCAATAAATAATTAGATAAATAAAAACAGGAAGACATAAACAATTTTCTTAACAGATATTTTTTATGCTCATATTTCATATAATTTATTTATTACCGTTACCATTTCATAATATATTTATTTATTAATGCACACGTTTATTTAGTCCGAAGTCCGAATAATCCCTCCATACTCACCAGCGCTACAGTATTACTGAAATTTTATTAGCTAGCCGACTTTGGTCAGCTGACTGGCGTGCAATTTTCAATTGGAGAAATGCACACTTCCCTGAAAAAAAATTATGGCCATAGCTGCAATTAACTGAGAAACCAAGCACTAAAGTTCAACGTCAGCCATTGTCGCTGAACGTCATTATTAAAACAGTTTTATTCAACCTCCAGAAAACAGGAGCAGGCTGTTTCAGACTGCTGACAGATAAGAATGTGACTCCCCCACAATGATTTTATGTTTGTACAGTGTAACGTTGTTCGATATACGAGTAGGCCTATGAGTATCGTGTAGCCATACCAAAACTTTTAAACGGTATAATTTGATCATTTTGCAAATTTCGGTATGTATGAAGTTATATCACGTAGTGGATTGCCGACACTCTGCTTTGGGGAGAAACACGTGTCTCTTGTGTAGGGGAGCTACGTAGATGGAAGAACGAAATCGATGTTACCTACTGCGCACCTGTAGTTGATAAACAGGGCGGCGGCATTATTCTGGCTTTAAACCGAACCCGCAGACCATATGTAAACGCTGGTACAAGGGGAAAGACGCTTTACTCGGCGAAGCATCTGTCTGTCTCATCATGACTTATATAAGGAGTTTACAGATCGTCGGGTGTGCTTGATAAGACATTAGACGCATGTTAGTGATGTAATTTACAAGTTATTGCATTCATTGATTATTGATTATAGTCACCGTTTAGCACACATGCCAATCTCTATATTAGTAGCCCCTAGTTCGTGTCTTATTCCCTATACTAATATAATCATTTGATAAAGCCGGTAAAAAAAAAATCGATATTCTAACGCTAAAACTGATTCTTAAAATGAAACATTAAGGTCAAAAGAGTTGATATTTCAATATCACATCCTTACACTGTAAAAAATTTCACTGTAAATTTACAGCATAATACTGGCAGCAGAGTTGCCAGCCATTTTCTGTATTTTTACAGCAAACATACTGTATTTGATATTTACAGTACAATACTGCAATTACAAAATACAGAATGTTACTGTAGAAGTGTAAAATTTACAGTAATACTGTAATATATAATGCAGTACATTGCTGCTATTTTACAGAATTATGCTGTGTTGCATACTGCAAATGTCTTTTTTCAGAAGCAATATTTTTTGCATACCTCAATTGAGAAAATGAAGAAAACTTACTTCTTATTAAACATTTATTTTTTAGAATGCTGTTTAAAATAGTTTACATTTTACCATCTTTAAACTATGTTTAGGTATCTTTAACATCATTTTTCTTTCACTAAGCAC